ACGTTCCCAATGAAGTACGCGGGGGCGGGGGGCGTGCAGAGCCGGTCGGGGTGGCCCCGTGTCCCGGCTGCGGCCCACCTGCCCCTCCGCCCCGCACAGGAGTGTCCGGCAGCTGATGATGCTGGTCAGTGAGGGGCTGCTGCCCCCGTCGGCGACACCGCCCCCCCACATCCAGCTGCAGCCCCCCCTGGACTACCTGGCCTGGGTCGGCAGCCTCCCCCGCAGCCTGCAGCAGCAGATCATCCACCGCTCCCCACCCTGCAGCATCAAGCCGCAGACAGAGAAGGTGCGTTGGGGAGAGGGTACCCCAAAGGGCGCAGGAAGCTGGGGGACCGCGCCCGCCGCCTGCCCTCGGGTCTCCGTCGGCCCGAGGGGAAACAGGTTCAGGCGGGCAAAGCCGGGGGGCTGGCTCCGAACCGGGGCCCACCGTGGGGGCACGGCCGAGCAGGCCTGCGCCCCAGCACCCTCCCGCCCACAGTTCATGGAGGGCCCGGGCCTGGCCTTCGCCGCCTTCTCCCAGGCCGTGACCCTGCTCCCCGGGGCGCCCTTCTGGGCCATCCTCTTCTTCCTCACGCTGCTCGCCCTGGGGCTGAACACCCTGGTGACCTTGGTGGGCGGCCTGGTCTCCCCGCTCCAGAGCACCTTCTCCGTCTGCAGGCGGTACCCCAGGCTGCTCTCAGGTACTGCGGCCTGCCCCGCTGACCCCTGCTGACCCCCGCCCCCCGCTCGGGGCCCGGCCAGCGGCTCAGTGTGGCCCCACGCCTGCCTTAGCGCTCATCTGCTCGGGGGGCTTCCTGGGCAGCCTGGTCTGCGCCAGTGAGGCGGGCAGCTACATCGTGGCCGTGTGTGATGACCTCCTGGTCCCGCTGGCCCTCGTCGCCATCGTGGCCTTCCAGAACGTGACCCTGGCCTGGATCTACGGGGCGAGGAGGTGACGTCTGCCGGGGGCCGGGGGGGAGGCCGGGCCTCTGGAGGCCTGGGGTGTGTCCTGGCCCGCGCCCACCTTGTGAGGAGCCTCGCCAGAAGCGGGGTGCGGGAGGGAGTGGTCTCAGCGCAGCTGGGGTGGGGGCGCCCTCAGCAAGGGCTGAGCTGCCCGGCCGGGTGGGGCCCAGGGCGGCGGGGCGCCCCTGACGCCCGCCGGTGCCCAGGTTCAGGCAGCAGCCGGTCAGCGCCCTGGGCCACCTGCTGTGGCCACAGCTGCCCTGCCTGTGGCGCTTCCTGACGCTGCCGGTGCTGCTGGGCCTCCTGGCCGCCTGCGTCCTGGCGCTCTACCCCGTGGGAGCCGCGCACTACGTGGCCTGGAACAGCTCGGTGGTGAGGCCCCAGCCCGCAGGCCGAGGGGGTGGGGGGCGGCCCCCAGAGACTGAGGCCAGCCCCGCCGGTGTCCCAGGGCCAGGAGGTGCGGCGGCCGCACCCGCAGAGCGCCCTGAGCTGGGTCCGCTTCCTGGGCGTGCTCGCCCTCCTGCCCGTCCCGGCCCACCCTCTGCGCCGCTGGTGGCGCCTGCAGGACCACGAGGCCGCCGAGGCCCCCGGGAGGCCGCCATCCAGGAGGAGGCCCCCCCAGTGGCCCAAGGGCCGCCCGGCCAGGCCCAGCTCCAGGGCGCCCCGGGGCCACAAGAAGAGCGTGAGCTCCCAGCGCCTCACGCCCCTGGCGCCCGCGCCCAAGCACGCCGTGCTGTGGCAGACCAGCCTGACCTCCGCGCAGCCCAGCCAGAGCTCCTGGTCCAGCCTCATGGCCTCCCTGACCTCCTTCCTGTCCGTGTCCCCGAGCCTGCCCCTGGAGGGGGGAGACAGGAGCTCCAGCACGCGGGCCTCGGGGTCGCACCCGGCCCCTCCCGCCCCGCCCGCCCCGCCCGTCCCGCCTCCGCAGGAATAAACCGCTCTGGCAGGTGACCGAGGGCCAGGAGGGGCCTCACTTGACCCGGGGGAGAAGGGGCCCCCGGAGCCCACACCTCTCCTGGACAGGCCCGAGGGGGCGCCCCAGGAAACCCACGGGGCACCACTGGCCAGGGGCCAGCCTTCCCCACACCCTCCAGGGCGCCTCGGAATGACACTCCACCTCGGGCAGCCAACCCGGGAGCCTCACTGGGGGCTCGCTGCAGCCCAGGGCAGCGTGAGCCCCGCCGGCACACTGTCCCCCCCCCCCGTCTTCACCCGCCTGGGCCCCCACCTGGGGCCCAGTCTCGCCTCTCCTGTTGCGTCCTGCTCCTCGGGAGCCAGGGGTCATGGGTGAAGCGGAGGATGCCTGCCGCTGCCCAAAGGGCTCCCCCAGGCCCTAAGTTGGTGTCCGTGAGGTCCCCGCCAGCTCCGCCGCCCCCCGCTGCCCTCACCCTCGGCTGCCTCGGCCTGGGCACACGGGTCCTGCCATGGCGGCCTGTGGCTGAGAGGACAGAGCGCCGGGGGGGGGGGCCGGCCCAGGGCGGGTGGTGCTTCCTCGGCCGACACGCAGACTGGGGGGAGCCTAGTTCCGCCCGCCCCCTCCGCGCCTCGGCTTCGGCTGGCAAGCCCCGAGGCGCACCGAAGCCCAGTGGGTGCTCAGAGGCTTGCCCCTCGCCACCCCCTCCCCTCGCGGGGCCAGGGGCTGCGCGGAGTCGGTCACGGGGAGCCCGAGCTGTAAGGCTGCTTTTGTGCAAGGGCAGGGGCAAGAATCCTGCGCCCGGGCACAGCCCCGGGACGGGCAGCAGCTGACCCCGCAGGCGCCCCTGGGAACTGTCAGTGGAAGTGAGGTGCCTTCTCCTCCCTGGGGAACATGGGCCCGGGAGTGTGACGGGCAGGAGTGGGGTGACGGCAGACAAGCCTCCACCATCAGGCCACGAAGTCTCCAGGATCCACAAAGTCTGGCCCCGCCGGGCCGCCTCTGCAGGTAGAGGCTGCGTGACGGAATCTCTCTTGAGCCTTGAAATGCCTGTCTGGCCCCAAACAGCTCTCGGGGTAACTCGGGGAGCAGGGCTGCCTTGGCACTCAACATGTGGCACTCAACATTTTCAGCTAACCAGGCGGCATGCAGTGGGGGACGATTCAAAAGAGCTGCTCTGTGTAAACTGCCACGTGAAAACAGTATGGAGGGCCCTAAACAATGTGCCAGATGGCCCTGTCGCCAGCCCCCCCACCGCCCCCCACTGGGTGTCCCCGGGAGGTATGGAGACTCATAAAAAAAAACAGGCACCGTGTTCACTGCAGCACGGCTCAGGGCAGCCAAGGTGATGGCCACATGCCCGAGGACAGGGATGGACGAAGGTGTGTGCACGCTCACTCATGCCCACGCTGGAGTACTACTCGGCCATCAAAAAGGTGGCCGTTTGTCATTTATGACACATGGGTGCACCTGAGGGGTTATGCAGGGTAAGAACGCAGGAGAAAGCCAGGTGCCGCGGGAGCCCACTCATGTGCAGGGAGTCAGATCAGACCCTTGCACTCCTAACAAGAGAATGGTTACCCGAGGGCGGGGCCTGAGGCTGAGGGGACACTTGATGGGGGGTGGTGAGTCACACAGTGGCTGGGGGAGGTTCCTCCTGGATCCTACAGTGTTGAAGTCTAAGGTGACCTCGATAAAATACGGGGAGTTGGCACAGCTGTTCCTTCCAAAGATGAACAACTGGCCACCAGGGACATGAAAAGACTTTCGGGTCATCACTCCCTAGGGTGACGCCAATCAAACCCACAGGGAGACGCGCTCCCCTCGTGGAAAACCACAGCCGAGGGCCGGGTCTCCACCACGATGCCCTGAGCCGACGCTGACCCACCAGGCCGCGCCCTTTCCCTAATCACCAGCAAGTGGACACACGTTTCTCTGGAAAGGCCGAGACGCGAGTTTCCAGGCAGCCTCGGGGGTCCAAACGCCCCACGCAGGGGACGCGCCAAGCCTCCCCCGCGGTGCGCCCACGTGGGCATTCTAGGCCCCGGGGCCGGAGTCTGCGTGCTTTGTGCACGTCCCCAGAGGCGAACCCACCGCAGGGTCTCGGCCCCAGAGACGGCAGGAGCGGGCAGGTCCCGTCAGCTGGGGGAGGGAAAGCCCAGCAGAGCGGCCCGGGACGGGAATGTCAGGGCCCAAAGCGCCCCTGGGGCTGGAAACTAGAAAGTGGGCTGCGAGAAGGTGGCAGGCGTTAATGGGGGGCTCTGGGAGGCCCAGGAAAGCTGGAAGCGGGGACTCACCGCAGCAGCCGAGAAAGCACTGCCTCGCGCCGCGCCATGGTGGAAGCGGATAGCCAACACCTGCCCCTTCCTCCGCGCGCAGGCGCGCTCCCGCGCGCTCCCTAGCGCCGCCTGCGGGCAGAGCCGAGCAGGTGCCCGCAAGGACCTGCCTCGCCCGCCCGGCGCAGGTCGCTCTCTAGCGCCGCCTGCGGGCAGAGCCCAACCAGAGGCAGAGGCAGGTCGCGTTGCCGCCTCCCAGGAGGCGAGAGCCCAGCGGGGCGGGCAGACTTGGGGCTGAGAAGTAGCTCAACGAACCAGCCTGCTCGTGGCGGGAGTTCCTGGGCCTTGGCAGCACCTGGCACCTACACACGCAAAGACGGCCCGGATTCCTATCCAAACGCGGCCGCTGTCTAGGTGTGTGGCTGAGTCACGCGTCTGTGCCTTTCGCATCTGCGAAATGGAGACAGCAGAGCGCCCACCTGGGGTGGCGGAGGTGCGGAGTCACCGATTCTGTGTGAAGCGCTTAGCACAAAGCCAAACCTAACCGCACGCTTCACAGCCAGCACTGCTGTTGCTGTAATCACCGTTATTGTCACCACCTGCCACTGCCACTCGTGGTTCTACCTGGGCCGGCCAGACTAACCCGAGTCTTCCAGAGAAACCCGCTTGCCGCCCCACACTCGGCAGCGCTCCACACGGCCGCTGCCCACAGGGGGGCTCCCGCAGCTGGAGCAGGGTGTTTGGGCTCTGCTGTCTGGCTGTGTCGGCTGTCGGGGCGTCCTCGCTATTTAACTAATAACTGCTGTCAGCTCAGCCTTGTCATTACCAGCTTAGTTTGTTATGGGCTGTTTGGTTAAACTGCACGCAGAAGGGTGCACATTTGCCTCCATTCCGTGCGAATGTGGCCTGCAATTTCCCACTAATTAGACTCTTTTTTAAGGACACGTATGCAGTTATCTACTCAAATGCGCATCGTCTGTCCCCCTGTTGCCAAAGCAGATGTACAGGCGCCACCCCCACTCCAGGGGATAATTTGCTTATTATCACCATGTTTTTCCACTAGAGAGTAGCAACTGGGGGCCGGGGTGCAAACCGAAGTGAAAGTATTCAAAATAGTGCAGACAAGAGGTGCTGCACAGGCAGACCGAGGGAAGACTGGTGGGACTGGAGGTGCAACAGAGAATCGACCAAGGGCCCGCAGCCCCCGAAAGCCCCGAGACACCCTCCAGTTCCCCAAGCACCCAGACCCGGCTCTTGTGAAAAGGCTTTATTTCCTCAGTGTGAGGAGCTGTGAGCGGGCGCTGGAGTCTCCCACCCCAGACGCCCCGCAGCCTCTGCCCGCGGCTGTGGCAGGGCACTCAGGCCCCGCGCGGGCTCCGGGACCCTCCTCGCGGGGGCCAAGGGGGCGGCCACTGCGGCCCACGTGGACGGCTTCCCCCGCGGTGGTGCTGGCAGCCGCCAGAGGTAGTCCACGGCAAGGGCCGGCTCAAGGTCAAAGCCCGAAGGGGGGGCCCTACTCTGCAAGCAGCCCCCCGAGGGGGCCACTCAGTGACTTCCGCCCACAGGGCTCAATCTGGGGAAAGAGAACAGGTGAAGGGGATGAAAGGGCATTGGCAAAAAAGGGGGGAAGCGCGACGAGCCCAGGGGAGGGCAAGAGAGAGATGCAGGGGCCAAAGGGGCGGCCACGCGGGGAAGACACGCGATGACACAGGCCCAGGGGCTCGGACGCAGGGGCAGGTGGGACGGCGGCGGCCGACACGGCGGGCCCTGAACACTGACCTCTGGGACCGCGTGGGGAGGGGGGCGGCGGCCCTCCTGGGGGCAGCAGTGAAGAGCGGCTCAGGGCCTCGGCCACCCAGCCCAGGACGCGGTTGCAGTGCTGGACCTGGTTTGGGGGGGGCGAGGAGGAAAGTCAGACCCTGGCCCCCACCGCCCCCCACGAGGCCACATCTCCCTGGCCGGGCCGACCCTCACCTCCTGCTCCAGTCCTTTCAGACGCTGCTCATACTCGCGGATCTGCCTCAGATGCTTCAAGGCCGTGTCCACCCTTGGGGACCCAGGGCATGAGGGCGGGCAGCCCGCTGGCCCCGACCCCCAAGGAGTGCCGCCCCGCCCCCCCCCGGGCGCCACCACCTCGCCCCCATGCCTGCCGCTGCTCTTCGCCAGCCCAGGCGCTCAACTCAGTTCCAGAGATTCCGCCCGCCCCAGACCCCGCCCTCACTTCTGCGAGGTGCGCTTGAGACGTTCAGAATCACTTTCCCGATTGTCCCGCGCACGGGCCAGCAGGAAATTCTCCTTCTGCACCGATTCCCAGGTCAGCAGCCTGCGCTCGGCTTCCTTGGAGAGGCGGACCCCTGTGGGGCGGAGTCAGGAGTCAAGGGCCGCCCCTCGGGCCACGCCTCCGGGCCCAGGGCTCCGCCGGCCACGCCCCGTGCGGCCCTAGGCCACGCCTCCGGGCCCAGCGCTCCGCCGGCCACGCCCCGTGCGGCCCTAGGCCACGCCTCCGGGCCCTGCGCTCCGCCGGCCACGCCCCGTGCGGCCCTAGGCCACGCCTCCGGGCCCAGCGCTCCGCCGGCCACGCCCCGTGCGGCCCTAGGCCACGCCTCCGGGCCCAGCGCTCCGCCGGCCACGCCCCGTGCGGCCCTAGGCCACGCCTCCGGGCCCAGCGCTCCGCCGGCCACGCCCCGTGCGGCCCTAGGCCACGCCTCCGGGCCCAGCGCTCCGCCGGCCACGCCCCGTGCGGCCCTAGGCCACGCCTCCGGGCCCTGCGCTCCGCCGGCCACGCCCGGACCTGGCAGCCTCAGCCCCGCCCACCAGCCCTCCCGGGCTGTCCTTGCTCTCCGCGTCCTGCCTCCCTTTTGAGCTCAAACCCGGCTCTCACGAAAATGCTGGAAGGCCGGGGAGGACGGTGTATTGTCCCAGGTCCTCCGAAATCGCCTGAGGAGGAGCCGCACGTGAGAGATGAAGATGAGGGGCGGGGCCAGCGCGGGGCGAGAGTGAAACTCCCGGATGAGGCTGTAGCGCTGCGCCTTCCAGTAGAGATCGCTGTTTCCTTGAACTTTGCCGAAGGTGTGGCTGTGGGGAGCAGAGGTGAAGGGTCACTGGGGGTCACCAGGGTCTGGCCCGCGGTTCAGAATTAGCTATCAGGCAGCAGCTAAACAGAGGTAGCAGGCAGAGGTCGGGTTCAACAAAGTCAGATTACTTCTAAATGTGGCTTAAAATTGAGTTAGGAAGGCTGAGAGTCAGAGGGCAAGCTGGGGATGGTATCATCAGTTAGGGCAGATGTTGGCGTGAGGCCCAAAAATCAGCCTGGTCACAGATAACTAAAACTGGACGTGGGACATACGATCATACTGACCTTATAGAAATAAAAAAGGATTATAAAAGAATACTATCAACTATGTTCCAACAAATAAGGTAACCTAGATAAAAGGGTCAAAATCTTAAAAACACAAATTACCTGTGATGACTCAAGAAAATATCAGAAAAGTTTCTCAAACGACTTGTAATAGATGGAGTCACTAATCAAAAAATGTCCCAATCAAACCAGCCCAGGGCCAGAAGTCTTCACTAATGAATTCTACCAAGAATTAACACCAACCCTCAAATTCTTCAGTGCCATCACATCAAAGGCAGATACAGATGCCACAAGAAAAGGAAACAGCCGACCAATATCCTATATGAATATATGGGCAAAAATCCCCTGCGATTACTAGGAAGCTTGACTCAGCTGCATATTAAACGGATTATACACCATGACCAGGTGGGGTTTATCCCAGTGATGCAAAGGTAGTTCAACATACAAAAATCAACTCACGTGACACAGAGACAGTCATTTGACAAAATGAAACATACTTTCATGGCTAAAAAAAAAAATAAAAAAAGTAGGAGTAGAAGGAAACTCCCTCAATGCAGTAAAAGGCATTTATGGAGAAGACACAGGTAACATCACACTCAATGAAAAACTGAACATTTCCTCCTAAAACCAGGAGCCAGACAAGAAAGTCTATTTCAACACTACTATACATTGTTGTACTAGAACTTCTAGCCAGAGTAATTAAACACGAGAAATAAAACGCATCCAAATTGGATCAGAAAGAATAAAACTATATTCACAGATGACATAATCCTATACATAGAAAATCCCAAGAAAACTAACAGAGCTTATAAGTGGAGTCGGCAAAATTGCAGAACACAAAATCAGCTAACAAAATCAAGTGTATTTCTATATGCTTGTAATGGACAATTAAAAGAAAAGGGGAGGGAGTTAAGAAAGCAATTTCATTTCTAACAGATTCTAAAAGAAAAAAGGAACCAGAAATAAATTCAGTCAAAAAGGTGAAAGACTTACTCACTGAAATTATAAAATAATGCTGAGAGAAACTGCAAAGTCCTGAATAAATGGAAAGACATCCTGTATCCATGAATAGAGTTATATGATGCCAACACTACCTAAAGCAACCCACAGATCTGACCCTGTTCCGGTCAACATTCCGATCAACTCTATAGAAATGGAACAGCTGACCCCCAAATTCCTAAGGGGCAGCCGAAATAATCTTGAAAAAGAACAAATTGGAAAACTCACATTTTCCAGTTTCAAAATTTACTACCAAATCAAGAGGGTGCAGTAGCAATGTAGCAGGAGACACAGCTCACAGAGGCACGGAATTGAGGCTCCAGAAATAAACTCACCCTTCTGTGAGTGTTACAGGTTCAATGGTGTCCCCCTCAAGAAAGATACATGAAGACTAACCACTGGTACCAACGAGACCTTCTTTGGAGACAGAATGTTCACAGAGAAGATCGAGCTAACATGGCAACTGCCATGGCCCTCACCCAGCAGGGCCGCGTGGCCAAGGGGGAGGGCTCACACGGACATGCGCTCGGAGGAGCAGGGGAGACAAAGGCTGAGCCTGGGGTGTGGCTTCACAAACCAAGGGCTCCGGAAAGCCTCCTGAAGTCAGGAGAGAGGCTGCGAGCAGGCAGGAAACCACCCATCCATGAGCGCTGTGGGTTGCCTATGCCCTGCACAGCCTCAGGGGCCTCACGCCTCACCGAAACTCGAACTTGGACATCTGGCTGCCAGAACTTGGAAAGAATGCAGCTCCGTTATTTAAAACCCCCCACCTTTTGGCATTTTGTTAGGGACATCCTGGGGAACTAATACAATGACCACTTGGTTTTTAACAAAGATGCCAAGTCCATTTAATAAGGGAAAAACTATCTTCACAAACAGGCCTTGAAAAACTGGGTCGCCATAGGCAAAAAGAATGAAGGTGGACCTTTTCGGGCACCATATACAAAAGGTAAGTCAGAACGGGCAACGACCTGCGTGCAAGCGCTGAATCCCTGGGACAGAAGAGTAAGCACCTCCCCCTCCTGACCTTGGACTTGCAGTGAGTCCTTAGCTGTAGGCCCACCAGTGCCTCCGAAGGAAAAACAGATAAACTGAATTTCTTCAAAATGTAAAATGTCTGTGCATCAAGCAAAAGAAAAGGATCAGAAGACTGGATAACATTTTACAAATCATGTATGTGACAGTTTAATATACCAACACCTGAATTAGCAGCTGTAATAAGAAGAAAGAGGACATAAAACTTAGAAAAAAACAAGGCAGGCCCTTCCTGGTGGCGCAGTGGGTTAAGACACAACACCACACGCAAGCCGCGGCCGCTCCAGAGCCAGTGAGATCCCTGGCCAGCGAGGTGGCCCTGACCTGCCCACTGCTCCCCTCAGCAGTGGACTTCATCAGCCACCATGTCCTGCTCCCCACTCTGTCTCTGGTGAATCCTCTCACCCCCTGCACCTCTGACCTTCACCTCAGCTTTTATATGCATAAATAAATAAATCTTTTTAAAAAAGTGACTAATGGTGGTGAGTGTCGTGCAACATTATGAATGTAAATAATGCCACGATCTGGTACACTTCAAAAATAGACCAAAGGACAAATTTTATATTACCTATATTTTGCCATAATTAAAAAAAAAAATCTTTCAGTGTTGGACATGGGCTCAGGGAGATGATCAGAGCCAAAAGTCAAGGTCAGGAGCAGAGTCTGGCGGGTCAGGGGCCAAGTTCAAGGTCCAGCTGTAGACTGAGTCAGGCTGGGTGTACGGCTCATGTTAAGGTCAAGGTCATGGTGGGGTCAGTCTCCTGGGAGTCAAGTCAGGCTGGGAGATGGGGGGGGTGGGCCCCTCACCTGAACATGGCGATGAGCAAGTTGAGCAGCAGGATGTTGGCCACCAGTAGGAAGACGATGAGCAGGAGCACCACCAGCCAGTTGGCATAAAGTGAGACACAAGCGCCGGCCTGGGGCCCCACCGGTTGCGCCCAGAAGCCATAGTCGGATGAGCAGTTGACGTGCTTCATCAAGACCACTGTGAAGGGAGACACTCAGAGATGCGACCCGAGGCCTGGGAAGACAGAAGGCAGAAGGGCGTGGGGAAGCCCAGAGAGAGCGGCATAGGGGCCCAGAGAGGCACTGGAGGGCTCGGGTCCTCCTCCCACCTCACCGTCCATCTCCTCCTGGGGTATCTGTCCGAAGATTTGCAGGTACGGCCGGTAGAAGACGCGGCGCAGGATGCTTGGAAGCTCACGGTCACGGGGCCTGAGAAGTCCCTCGGTGGCCACCCCATAGGCGACCAGCCACACGCCGAGGAAGAAGAGGAAGAAGAAGACGTCCTTCATCTGCAGCAGAGGAAGATGAGACAGCCTGGTCCTGTCCTGCCCTCTCTGGGCCTACCCCTGCCGGCCATGGCCCCGCCCCACCTGCCCGGACCACGCCCCTGTCCACCATGGCCCCGCCCCCTGCCAGCCCCGCCTCCACCGAGTCCCAGCCCACCTATCAGGGCCCCCACCCCGTGCCCTTCCCTCACCATCTTGTTCACAATGACGATCTTGGGGCCCAGCTGTTTGTTGACGGTGAAGATGTGCAGCAGCCGCAGCGTGAACACCATGAAGTCAAGGCAGAGGACGGTGCGGCCCAGGTCATACAGGCCTGGGATCAGCCTGGGGGTTGGGGAGACACGCAGGACTCACTCGTGGGTCAGAGGGTGCAAAGGAAAACCCCGGCTTCCCAGCCCCAGGCTGCGGGTGAAGCTGTGGCCTCTTTGGGACTGCCACCAGGACCCTTTGATTTATTCCGATTTTTTCAGTTGCTGAGCTGGGCGGCAGGGCTGGTCCCTGAGGCCCCGGAAGGATAAGGACAGCCTTAGCAAACAGCAGGGAGGCCCCGCCACAATCAGTGTGGGAAAAGTGCTGGAGTATTTCTCCAACTATAAAGGTAAAGAGTTCCAGGCGACCAGTACCCAGAAGACAATGCAACCAAAAAGGCGGGCGGGCTAAGAGGTGACACAGGGCCCTCCCTGGGGCGCGGAGGGTTAAAGCACAGCACCAAGAAGTTACTTTAGCATGAGTTCAAGTCCTGGCCCCAGAGGTGACACGCGTGGGCAGGCCTCTCCTGACCCACCGCCTGCTCCCCTCAGCAGTGTACTTCGCGTTGGGAGTGACCACATGTGGAGATTTGCTGAGGGACTGGATAAGGGCAGTAATAAATTAGGCCTTGCATCCAGTTAACTGGGCCTTGCATCCGGGATGGGACTAGCTGAAGGTGACAGCGAACTGGGCCTCACATCAAGGACACAGCCATGAGTCACTCCTTTGGAATCTGAACTTAGGACCTAGATAGGAGACCCTCCCCCTTTATTGAGTTGGCAGTAGCTGCGGACCCCACTCTAGGGGCTCCGTCTCAGCTGCTGGGCTCCGTATTGCCCGGGAGCAATAAACTCTGCTTGCTCAGCCTTTCTGCCTCCCGCCTTCCTTTCTTGCCGGAGGGTCACAGAAGCCGGGACGAAACACTTTGTCCATCTGCCTGTTCTGCTCCCCGCTCTGTCACCTGTGAACCTTCTCACAGCCCTGCACCTCTGGCCTGATAACACAATGCACAGCATAAAGCTAAATAGCTAATAACATTGGCAAACACTGTGGGAAAATAAAAATTATATCCCTGTTTGTATTATGTTCTTGAACTCTGCAGAGTTAAAACCTAGACTAAAACGCAAAACATTGAAACACTAAGACAAAAGTCCAGGACAGCTTCCCGTGCTCACGGCAGGGTAAGAACTCAGTTTTTAAAAAGCTGCTAAAAGCCAGGCAGCTCCTGCCCGCCTGTGCCTGCAGGGGCCTCTCTCTTTCCTTCCCTTTTCCTATCAGAAAAATATAAATGTAAGCCAGAAAAGGTCTTATCTACAAGCCACAAAATCACAAGAAGGAAATGATTGAGTACTTTGACACATACAAGATTTGTGCATCCGAAGATAAGGCGGCTCTGAGCGACTGAGAAATGCAAAATTTCCTGCCAAACACACGCAGAGCCTGGTACCCTAGAAAACATCAGACAGACCCAAACAGGCAAATTCTACAAAAGAATTGGGCTGGCTTGTCCAAAAGAGTTAAAGGTCGTCAAAGCCAAAAAAGGGACTAAGAAGTGTTCCAGGACAGAAAAGATTAAGGCGACACGCCAACACGCGCCAAGCAAAGATGGCAGCAGCTCTCGGGTTAGCGCCTGAGCCAGAAAGGCCGCCCGGGACAAGCGGTGCAACTCGCAGGGAAGAAGGACGGAGAAGAAAGGGGAGAAAGAGAAGGACGGAGAAAAGACAGAGAGAGGGACCGCACTGGTGGCTGAGGGTGACGTGTCAGCAAGCTTTCCTGGTTTTCCTGTGTTGGACGTTGGCATTCGGGAGACCTGGGAGAAAGGTGTGAGAGAATTCGCCGAACTGTTTTGGTAATGTTGTTCTTAAGTTGTGGGATACTTCAACATAAAAAGTTGAAGAAGAAAAGGAAATATACAAAAGTGAAAGCGGAAGCCTGTGATTGGCACCAAAGGCTGGGACCCAGAGCATGCGGAGAGCATGCACCCAGGCAAACGTGGCACCCGCAGAAGTCTGGCCTACATGGACAGGTGACATGCAGGCAGGAGAGTGGACAGGTGGAGCAACAGACAGAAGACAGACGACAGACAGATTTGTGTGGACATGCAAGGGCAATAAACACTTTTATAATTGGACAAAGGACATGAAAAGGCAACTGACTTAAGTACATGGGGTCATTAGGTATGAGGAGACCTGACAGTAGTCAGGGATGCATGAACGAAAATGAGGGGCCGTTTTACCCATCGGACCGACCAACGGTAATGTCAAAGAAAGGTCAAGGTTAAAGTGAGCTACATTTCAGGTGGAAAATGTCAGGTAGTGACAATCACGTCCTCCAGGGGGCGCTCTCTCACCCAACTGATGCGCAGGGAAGTCAGTCCGGGTATTCTACAAGGAAATCCGACCTGCGAAGGAGTATGTACCTGCGCCCTTTGGCCCAAAAAGCTTAAATGTGGAACGTAAATTTTTACTACTTTGAAATACAAACGTCATAAACAAACAATTGTACATCGGGAGATATTGGCCAAAGGGAAAAAAAATTCATTAATTCAATTCTGGAGAAATTTCTCCCTGGTAAACAGGGGCCTCAGGATTTTTTTCCCCATGCAAAAATTCTTCCCTTGATAGAGAGACAGTGAGTTAACACAATCTTTAAAACATCCCTGGTATTCCCAGAGCATGGTAGCACTTGGCCTCTCCATCTCAAAAGACACAATCCAAAAGACAAGAGATAAACAGGGCATCCTGTTCTGCAAAACACTGTTATCTTGCTGCCTGAATCAATTATTCATTCCCAGCTGCTCCTCACATCTAAAGAGCAGGCTGAGGAGAGCAGGTAGGCACGGCCATCAACTGCCCAGGTACCTCCTCACCAGCGTGCATCTGCAAAGATCTATCTGGGCCGCCAGTGTTTGGACTTTACTTAAAATGAAAGGAAGGGAAGGAGAGAAGGAGGCAGGGAACAGGCAAGGGGTGAGAGGGGAGGAAGAACACAATGAAGACAGACACTCCCTGGTGGCCTGCAGTGAGGTCTCAGACTGTGATAACAGCAGCCCCTGCAGCAGGGGTTCGATCCCCGGCCAGGGAGGGAGCCTCAGGGCGCAGCAGACCCCTCCTGTCTCCCCACTGCTCCCCCAGCAGTGGATCTCAGTGGCTCTGTCTGTTCTGTTCCCCACTTGGTCTCTGGTGAATCCTCTCAACCCCTATAGCTCTGGTCTACACCCCAGTTCTTCTACACCAAATTAATAAAATTAAAATAAAAAAGCTGAGCAATCTCATCCTATTCTCTTGAGTTGAAAATATAAGAGATTTTGTTGAGAAACTTTCTGCCTGACTTCTGTCTGTTGAAGTTCAGAGTTTCTGTCTCACTGCCTTATGAAAAGAATTAATCCATTCAATTCTGGCAAGAAGTCTGTTTTGTCTGATCTTGAGCAAAAAAAAAAAAAAGCTAAAACCGCTTCTGGAATCTGATACAGCATTTTCAAAGAACAGGTATGTTTGCAAATACTGTCAATGGAAATGACGAGAGTATTGCAAAGAGAGAGTTGCCATGGGCCGCCCTGGTGCAGGGGTTAAGTCTCAGCACTATAAAGCTGCCCGCAGCCACTGCAGCACGAGTTCAATCCCCGGCCAGGGAGTGACCACAGGCCGCAGGAGACCTCTCCTGCCTCTCCACTGCTCCCCTCAGCAGTAGATTTCAGTAGATTTGCCTATTCTGCTCCCCACTCTGTTTCTGGTGAATCCTCTCACCCCCTGCACCTCTGGCCTCTGGCCTCCACCCCAGTTCTTGTATGCATAAATAAATAAAAATAAATATTTTTAAAAGAAAAAAGTTGCCAAAGAATATATAACATGTCATTTGTGTAGCAGAGGTGTATGTCCATGTGTCCATGTAAGTGCACAGAGAAAGAACATGCAGGATGTACCCCAAACTGGTGATGAGGTAACTGATGCAGAGAGAAGACGCCTGAAGTGAAGAGAAGACACCTGCAGTGACTGAGGAAAATCATTGTTTTCTGGCCTGTGTCTGTCATTTATATGTTCAACCTTCTTCAGTGAGGGCAACTTCTGCATTTCTTTAGTAATAGACTATGTTTCAAAGATGTCTGAAGCTATCGGATGAGATATATGTGACCTGAGTCTATCATTTTGCATGAGAAAACAGGGCAAGAGATGCTCAGAAAACCATCTCGGGACAGAGGAGTCCTTCGGAAGTTAGGGGGCCAAAAGAAGGGACCCAGAGTTTGGGAAGGACAAAGGAAGAGCCAGAGACAGCTAAGCTGAGGCCTGAAAGTACAGGAGTTGACCAAGGAGAAAAGGGAAAAGTATTTTGGAAAGTGGAACAGCATGTGCCGAGACCCGATGACAAGACAATTTATCTGCCCCCCCCAATTTTTCACGCGTCCTTTGCGCCCCTCTAAACACTACACACCGTGTTCTGGGAACTGGACAGAACTAACCAACATTACATCAGCCCAGTGGCAGCAACAGAAAATATTTGAGGGGAATTCCTCACAAGTCATGTTTCATAAATTAGCTAAGAAATGGCAGAAACAATCAAGGTGTTTGTAGACTAAAAAGGTGACACTCGAGCCAAATGAAACTTGAAACTATGAAACTTGACCTGGAAAATCTAGCCATGACAGAAATAAAAAGCCATAGGATAAAATTCACAATGCATACCCCACATTTTGGCAAAATTCCATGTGAATAAGAACACAGATGATGAAGCAATACTTGTAAAACTTAACGCAAACGATCATTAACCAAGCTGAAATAATTTCAGTCTGAAAAAAAAAATAACTGAAGCCAGTGTCATGGCCCCGCCTACAAAACTGATGGAGGACATTTCCTGAAGCTGCAATAGGCTTGGTCTATTTACTCCTTCCTTGGTAAGAATTCCTCCGCCCGCTAAAATTCTGATTATAATTTTGTAGCTGCATAGATTCAAATTGTCAGGGCTCGAGGTCAAAGTTCCCTCCTCTGAGATGAGGCAGCTCTCCCAGATGGGCGTGGAGATGAAGAGAGGAGAAAAAAATAGAGACAGCCGGGCCTGGCCAGCGAAGGCTGGGCCCAGACCGGACGGCTCTGGGGGACAGTGGGGCCCTGCGGGGGGCTGGGCTGCAGGGAAGGGCTGGAGTCCAGGCACGAGCCAGGTGGGAGGGGGCCCTGGGGGTGGACGGGAGCCTGGGACGGACAGCGTGGGCTGGAGGCCAGGAGGGGCAGTGAGCAGGGCGCAGGGCTTCCACACTTGGAGGAAGTGGAGGGCCAGGAAGACGGTGGTGCCAGTGTGTGGCAGAATACTGTGAACCCAGCAGGGGACACGGCAGCAACAAAGTTGGGTTTGGGGCTCAGTTAAACAGCCGAGGAGAGTGGGGTTCTCAGCTGACCCCTGTCATCCCCAGAGGGGACATCAGGTGTGAGCAAAGTGCTTCCACACTGAAGGGCTTTTGTCACTGGCCTTTAAGAATAAGGGGACGGCCCCCCTGGTGGCAGGGGCTGAGTCTCAGCGCTGTGAAGCTGTCCGCAGCCCCTGCAGCGCGAGTTCGATCCCCGGCCAGCGAGTGACCCACATGGCAGCAGGCCTCTCCTGTCTCCCCGCTGCTCCCTCAGCCGTGGATTTCAGTCAGTCGGCCTGTTCTGCTCCCCGCTCTGTCTCTGGTGAATTCTCTCAACCCCTCAACCTCTGGCCTATACCCCAGTTCTTCTATGCAAAAATAAATGAAATAAATCTTTAAAAATCTATAATGAACAGCCATATACCAGAGACATTTTGTGGGGGGTGGAATGGGGAATGCGATCAAAAACGGGGGGGTGAGGGGAAGGAAGTGCAAGGGACTATGGTGATGGCACAGGTTGACTTGGTGATGGGAAACCCACGGGGGTTACAACTGAGATGAAAAAAAAATGTACAAAATAATGTAAAAATAAACTGTTATATTACTTAAAAAATAAAAATAAAAAAAGAATTAAATGGGGCCCTGCCTGATGGCACAGCGGTGGCACTATGGAGCTGGCCGCAGCCGCTTGGGCAAGAGTTTGATCCCAGCCGGGGAGGGACCCCAGGGCGCAGCAGACCCCTCCTGTCTCCCCGCTGCTCCCTCAGCAGTGGACTTCAGTGACTCTGCCTGTCTGCCCCCCACTGTCTCTGGGGCGTCCTCTCACATCCTGCACCTCCGGCCTGTACCCCAGTTCTGTGTGCATCAATAAATAAAGCTTTGGAGAAGCCAGGGGCCGGGCGCCCCTGCAGGCAGGCGGGGGGCACCCCTGGCCCGCGCCGCGGGGGGCCACTCACCGGCAGCCCACGCCCAGCAGGAAGCAGGCGAGGGCCACTAGGTCGCACTGGTTCCAGGTGTCCGAGAGGTAGAGATGCAGCCGGTGGCGCAGCGGGGCCTGGCCGGGGCCGGGCCCGGGCCCGCGCGCCGAGAGGCTGCCCCAGCCGCCGCCGAGGCCCTGGCGGAACTCCTCGCACAGCAGCGTGAAGGCCCAGAAGTACAGCAGCAGCTCCAGGCCGCCGGGCGGCTCCGGCTGGAAGTCGATGAGCAGCACGCGGGCGAAGAGCAGCAGGAAGAGCAGGTAGCTGACCACGTTGCCCAGGAAGGCCGTGACCGGGGCGCCCCAGAAGTGGGGCCAGCGGCGCAGGCGCGGGGAGAACCCCCCACAGCAGCCCCGCTGGCGGGGTTGCCTCGACCCCCGCAAAGGCGTCTTCTCGGGAGGCCTGGGCGAGATGGAGAGAAGGGGAGAGGGTGGGCCCGACCTGCAGCACCGGTGTCCCTCGGGGCTCCCTGCCCCCCACTGGCCGCCGCCCCGCAACGAGTCCCATTCCTGGCCAGGGAGGGACCCCCAGGGCGCAGCAGGCCCCTCCTAGCCCCCTCAGCAGTGCACTTCATCAGTCGGCCTGTTCTGCTCCCCCCTCTGTCTCTGGGGACTCCTCTCACCGCCCCTGCACCTCTGGCCTGCACCCCAGTTC